GGGCGCCGCCGGCCGAGGGCGCCGCGAGCGGTCTGGCTGCAGGCCCCGGACCCCTTCCTGCCGCGTGGCCCGGGAACAGGCCCTTCTCCGGGAGGAACCACTGGGCCCGAGGAATCTTCACCCCGCGGGGCGCGCTCCCCGGCGGGCTCGGCGCCTGGACCGCAGGCGGGCCCCACCCTCCGGCCGCGCCGCGGGAACCGAGGCCGCGCTGCGCGCTCCTCCCCTTCCCCCGGCAGCACGGGCGCGCGCCGCAGTCCCCGGGCCGGGGAAGCGCAGCCCGCGTCGGAGGCTGTGGCCGCCCTCGGCGCACGCTCCGCACCTTCCCTGTCGGATAAAACCCAGTTCGGAACCAAGGCAGCAAAGCTGGTTCCTGCGCATTCAAAGCCTCAAGCGGCAACAGTTGCAGGGAGGTGGGGACCGGGTCTCCGGCGCAGCTCCGGACCCGCCTCTGTGCTGGGAAGCCCGCCCTCCTCCTGGCTCTCAGGGGCGACTCCGGCTCGGCGGCGCCCCCGGGCGCCAAACCCGCCTCTGCTCGGGGGCGGACGGTGAGACCCACCGGGCGGTCTCGGCAGCTCCCCGGGGCTCGGCGTGAGCCTTCTCGAAGCGCGGGGCGGTGGGCAAAAGGCGGGAAGCCTTTGCTTTTGGGGGGTCCTCGGGGCCCACTATCTTCTGAGCTCTGGATGCTGCAGAGGCGGGTTGGAAAGGTGTGGATTGGACATCGTCCAGTCTCGGTATGACCGAACTCGGAATAACCAAACGCCTAGAACCAAACCCTGGGGACCAAACTCCGGATAACCATACCTCGGATAACCAAATCCGGTATAACCAAAGGCCAAAAAACCAAAGCCCTGATCCTCAAACGCGCGGCTATAACCGGATTTTGCATTCCTGGACGCCAGCGTTTACCGCAAGGTAACGCACAGCCCAGCCCAGCACCGCCGGCTGCCCGGATTATCTGCGAACATTCCAAAATTATCTACACAGCTACACCGGGGCATGCGGGGGCTAGGTCCTGCGGGCAGCGCTGCAGCTCAGCATGAAACACCACGTTGACGTTCCGAGTTAGTGGGGCAGGCACTTAACACATATTACCGTGTTAATCCGCAGCGCTTCCAGGTAGGAATTCATTATTGACCCTGTTTAGTGTCGTTGAGGCTGCGGAAGCTTCGCGAGGTGTAGGTGACCTAGTAAGGGCTCACCTGGAGCTTGGTACAGTCTGGATTCACGCCTTGCCCCAGTCTGGGCACTTCCCACCGCGCTGCAGCCTGCCGCCTGCCAGAGACGGCCTGGAGGGAGGCGGGATGGAATGGCTTTGTTCCAGTCTCAGGCAGGTTTTCAGGGCTAACCCAAGGGCCCTGGGGACTGCTTTGAGTCACCCTGTGACAGCACCTCTCAGCCAAGAATCGTCCCCGTTTTTTATAGCACCATATTGATTTGCAAAGGCAGTAAACCTACGAAGAAGCGGGAGCCTCATAATAACGTGCCTTGTGTGTTGTACTGCCCGGTTTCCACACAGGCGGGATGCACGGCTCAGCCCCTCCCAAGCTCACCTCCAGCCTGAAGATTCAGCGTGTCCTTCCCGTTCGTGTTTGCTGCCCGCTTCTTCCCACCCTGTTTTCTAGCTTCCCAGCCTACCTCTGGCCGGCGGACTCTGGCGTTCCTGTGCCCAGGAGAGTCCTAACCGGGCATTTGGAGAGACGGAAAGCAGCGAGCCGCAGTTCAGCTTTCCTCTGCCTCCCACACTTCCTGAAGATCATGGTACTTAGGTTCATTCTGGGCCCTTAGGATACTTGAGGGGACACAGTTTTGCCCGCGAAGAAACACACTGATATGCTTTCTTTTGGAGAAAATAATGGTATAATTCAAACACAGCAAATTTTAAAAACGAAGTGCAGCCAGCAAGATCTGCAACACCCTGTTGAAGCATATCTCAGGGTCTGGACTAATGGTGACACACACACCAGGGAAGGCCCCAAGCCTTGAGGGAAATCTTCTTTCCTGGCAACCTAAGTATGGGAGAGAGCAGCCAGCACCTGCTTCACAGTTCAGAGGGGCAGGTGTGTGTGTGTGTGTGTGTGTGTGTGTGTGTTACAGTTCAGAGGGGTGTGTGTGTGTGTGTTACAGTTCAGAGGGGTGTGTGTGTGTGTGTTACAGTTCAGAGGGGTGTGTGTGTGTGTGTGTTACAGTTCAGAGGGGGGTGTGTGTGTTACAGTTCAGAGGTGTGTGTGTTACAGCTCAGAGGGGTGTGTGTGTATGTGTTACAGTTCAGAGGGGTGTGTGTATGTTACAGTTCAGAGGGGCAGGGTACAGCGAGAGGGGTGTGTGTGTGTGTTACAGTTCAGAGGGGCGGGTTACAGCAAGAGGGGTGTGTGTGTGTGTTACAGTTCAGAGAGGCGTGTTACATTGAGAGGGGTGTGTGTGTGTGTTACAGTGAGAGGGGTGTGTGTGGGTGTGTGTGTGTTACAGTGAGAGGGGTGTGGGGGGTGTTACAGTTCAGAAGGAAGTGCATTACACTGAGAGGGGCCGCGTGTGCGCGCGCGTGTGTGTGTGTGTGTGTGTGTGTGTGTGTGTGGTGTCGGGTCAGTGCAGGTGAGCTGATGTTGTAGTTGGAAGCTTTGATAACACAAGGGACTGGGCTAGGCCCAAGATCTGGTTCAAGATCATAAACTGACCCTCGGACCCTCAGAGCCATCCCTGCTTCTCCGGATTTTTCTCTGTGGCTGGGTCTGCAGCTGGCATCAGAGCCGCTGTCTGCCCTGAGGAGGGGAGGACAGCAGTAGATGCAGGTGTAGCCAGGGCAGGCCAGGCGTGTCCTGCTCCCACAGCGCGGGCAGGTGGGGAACGGTATCATAGCAGAGGCGGTGGAGGGCCTTCTGCTAGTGAGCGTGGGGGCCACTTCCGCCCAAGTCTGTGGTTTCCACGCTGCCCAAGCATTTCCTTACCCGTGGACACTGTGCCCTCCCACAGTCACAGCGAATATTGCTGTAGCCACCAGCAGTCAGCACTTCGTCCTCACGTGGACACAAGATGCCCAGGACAGGCTTAAATCAGGACTCCCCTGGTAGCAAGATGTTCACATAAACGTCCTTTATTTGGGGAGCTGGAGGTGGGGGTAGAGGGAGATGGGGACTCTATGTGTGCGTGTGTGCATGTGTGAGTGCGCGCACACGCGCAAGACCCACCCAGAAGTGCCTAATCGCCAGACCGACTGGCTGGGAAAGAGAGCAAATATTTATATGTAGGGCTCCAGGAGCGAGGAGCGTGTTAGCCAGAGTCTGCGCAGCTCCTAGCGAAGCAGATTACTCTGCGAATTCAGGGAATTTGAGTTATTCAGCCGAGCAAAGCCTGCAGGCTGCCCCCCACGAGGCCGTGGGAAGTACGGGTTGCAACCGGTTTGCAAGGGCAGGGAGGCTCAATGAGCAGCGCGGGCGCGAGGCTCTCGCTCTCGGATTAGCTTTGCGCAATCCCTCGGGCTGGCCTGACACTTCCCCTTCCCTTCGGCAGCCACCCCTTCCCTAGTCTCTCTCCGGGATAAGAACCCCGGAGGGACGCGCACGGGCGCAGAGCTGAAGCGGGGCCCGCGAGCCGCGTCCTTTGCCACGTGCAGCACCTCCCGGGCTGCGCGTCTCCAGCCCCCAGTCACAGAGACGGAACTTGGGGCCATCGCAGGGGCCCCAGCAAGGGAGGCGTCCGCTCCGCACCCCTGCTTCCCAACTTCGCGCCTCCCAACTTCCTTTAGCAACTTGGAGCGCGGTGGGAAAAGAAGGGAAGAGGCGAGAGCCCCCCGGGCTGCTTGGGGGCCGGGTTCCCGACCCGGACCACGCCGGGCACGGGGCCGGGCTGGGCTGCAGAGAAGTGCCCTCCCGCGCCGCCGCGCGCCGCCTTCTCGCCTGGGGACT